AAATCCAAAGGTTTCCACTAAGAAAAGTGAGTTCCCTGGGGAGCGGAATGTGCAATCAGAATGAACATGCCTTCAGTGTAGAAAGGACTTGGATTGCAAGAGAAACACAGGAGGATTACAACAGTGAGCCCGAGGAATGCAGAAAGAAAAGGAAAGGTCTGGGATGATGAGATGGTGCCTGAGGACCTGAGTTCAGGTACACCCACTGCCTCAGAACAAATGCAATCCCAGTATGAGGGATTCTGAGACAAAAGCACTCCTGGAACTCCCTGACCAAGTCACTGTGCTCTAGGTTCAGTGAGACTCTGTCTCCAAAATTACGTGGAAATACATCGAGGAAAATAGCTGACGTTGACATTTCTCATTCACAAACACAGAGACACAAATCTCCTGCCACACATGCATATGCATATACACATGTGCACACATGAACACATGCACACAGGCACACACACACAAACACATGCACATGCGTACACATGCAAAAAAAAAAAAGGAAAACGGCAGGTCTTCTCACTGGCTTCTTTCCTTCTTCATCAAATGCTGACTTATGGAATGCTAATGCTACTGTGCCAAATCACAAAGCTTTTTAAAAACTCAGGTAGGATTCTGAGACATATGTTAGTATGAGAATAGCATCAGACAGAAAACAAAACATAGCCACCAAAGTGAAGCAAAACTCTGCCTGGATACACCTGTGTACAGATGGCTGCCACAGTAATGTTGGCATTTGTGTGGTCAGGAAAACTACATGGAACAGCAAAGTAGGTGTCTAATTTTCCCATGTTAGCTTCTTCTATTTGGAGAACAGTTGTCATCTCTGCTGATAGTATGTCTGTGTGTAGGAGACAAACCCCTGTTTAACTTCAGAATGTGAGTTTCCTATTGGCCTTTGTGAATGTCATTGGCTCCACCAATGCTTCTAGTGCTCATTCTTCTGTCACACGCTGTGGTACACAGAGGTTCCCACCTGCCAACTGAACGTCTAAATTTCTCTGTCAGAGATGTCTCACACCATGAAGACATTACCGTCTGACTCAATAAAACTGCAACGACCCTAGGGGTTCAGAAGTAGAAAAGGCAGTATGACACAGAAACTGGATGCCACAGTAGATTCTTACTTTGAAAATCCACACTTAGAAATGTGTCGTCTCAAATTATTTTTAGAGTTCAAAAGGCCATTGGAAATTGATTACTAATAAAAAAGAATATTAGTAACTTGGATCATACAATGATCCATAAGTTAAATGTTTACCCGAACATAGCAAATGAATTTCTGGAACCCTCAAGTATGAACTATTTTTTTTTCAATTTTCTGAATGACTCTGATATATGAAGTGAAATTAAAAGAGAATTTGTTGAGGAAGTCTTGTAAGTGTCCAGAAAATATCCCATGCACATACATTGATAACATATGATCACTTTTGGTTTTAGGTAAGAACCATTTTAAAATGAGTTACTGAGGAGGACTACTAAACAAATGACTTGAGTACTGAACACTTCCTACTGTAATTACTCTTTACTTAACAGATTGCTCATTCCAATATGAGAAACATGGATGAAGTTAAGCTCAATAGAAGTACTAAGCAAATTCATGTATCTTTTATATTACTTGTTTATTTTATTTATATCCATTATATATAATATTCATTTATGTTATTCGTTTATTTTCAACCTACAGTGACTTATGCAATGGTTTCTCTGCCCTTTATCTTTCCTGACCCTGGCAGTATTCTCTATACTCTGCTGACAGGCTGATCCTCTTAGTTTATAAATCTGATGATCAATCCCACGCTCAAACTCTTCCATGGGCTCTAATTGTTGCCAGCATTGCTTTTGTGTTTGTTTGGAGGGGTAGGAATCTAAGCCAGGACCTTGTGTAAGTTATCTGACCTTCTAGTCACCATCTCCTGATACTGGGCTTTGCACTGTGCTTCCCAGTACAAATCCATGCTCACAACACGGGGTTTTTGTGTTTCTAGATTAGAATACACTGCTGTTTCAACAGTGTCCTTATTCAAGAAACTTTACATTTACCTTGAGCCTCCAGATTTTGAAGTTGCAATGTGCAACACATTTTTAATGAGAAGTTGTGTGATTTCCCAACACACCCTACCAAGCAACTTGTGAAATTTCTATGCCATTCTTTCTTTTATTCCTAAAATTTACAATAAAATAAATTTTGTGTTGCTTGCTTCTTCCTCTTCCCATTCAATCTTTTACAAGAAATGAATCCTATTGGTTTTGATAAAGCTACAGGATTTAGTATAGTGTCTTCTTATAGTATATTCAATCAAATTTTGCTTTATAAAATTGAATGTTCTGTGACTATAAAATGAATTCTTCCAAGAACTAAATTCTTGTGATATTAATGTACTGGGATCTGTTTCTTCTTACCCTAACGTTTTAATCTCTCTTCATTTAATGCAAGGTTTAAAAATAAAATGGTAGCGAGAGTAAATACATATAGCTTCCAGGCTTGCATTTTTCCTAGAATCTTCAGTTAACATCTCTGAGTCTCAGCAGTCAAATGCTAACCCCCTCTAGATTTAAAATCCACTGGAGTGTCTGTTCAGTTTTAAATAAAAAGTAGATGACTTCTGGAAAGAGTGACAGTTTCCTTCTGGAACTTCTGGGACATATTACTAAAGAGCAGCTTCCCAAGTTGAACACCATAAGTTCTTAGGCCAGCATCATCTCGACAAAAGCAACTCGCTTCCATACATGTAATTCTCAGGATTTCAACAAAATCGTCAGAGCAGATCATATTTATTTAAATCTGAGATTGACAAAAACGCCAGAAAGAAAAGTACTCAATTTCCTGGAAAAAAATCATGTTTAGCAGTCAATTTCAGAGCCAAAAACGCATGCATTTGCTTGATAATCTGAGTGTTCGAGCTGAAAAGGCAGGCTCCCTCCCAAACCCCAATAATTGACTCCACTGATAAATTTGTTTATCATCCTAAGTGTGATGAGCCAATGAAGCTCAGAACTCGGTGTACTCTTGGTACAGGGAGTAAGGAAAGAGTTGACGAGGTGAACGTAGGAAATGCTTCACTTCCTGTGCCCAATCTGCTAAGGAAACATAAACTGGCAGAGCCAGGTGCATCAAAGCCGTCCACGTAGCCAGGAAAATCTCGCTCAGTCCCACCCAGGCCTCTCTCAAGGGTCAGTCCGCGGTGCCAAGACACAGCTTCCTTTTCTAAGATCGGCCTCTTTCTCTCTCTTCCTCTCCTCCCCCTCCCTCTTCTCCTTCCCTCCCTGTTTTCCTCACTACAGATACAGGTCTCAAGTTATCAAGGAGGCTTGTTGGCAGATGCGAAGGAAATAGTTTTTAAATATTTTCCCTGCCCCAATAAGAAATGATCTAGTGTGGGCTAGCCCCTACTAAAGTGAGGGGTGACACTTGGCCCGTGAGCTGAAGGAGGCTGGTGTCTTCCCTAAATGACCACAGTGGAAAAATCTGTGGGCCATTCTGAGTTGTCCTCCATGGTGGTCCCTTCTCTCAGCCACAGTGTGGAGGCCAGGTACACCGGCCGTATCCCTCTTTGTTTTCAGGACGTGTGGCCCATTCAGCACTAAAACACGCTGGCAGGATTCTGCACACTCGAAGGCCTGCAGACCCGAAGCAGGGAAGAATCTAGCCCAGGCTTTCAGAATGTGTATGAACCAGGCACAGAATTTTGAGCACTGTGTTTCAGAGTAGATATTCTCATCAATTGTTTTAATAGTACTGAAGAGTTACTTAGAAGCAAGCCATTGGTCCCCGAAACCTCACGGAAACTTTTGTAAAAATGTCAGATTGGCAGAAGCTCTTAAAATCCTGGCCAGATGCAAGATAAGCAAGAGCGTGATGTGGAAAGACTTTCAGATTTATCCTAAACTTATATAAAATACGTTTTAAAAATTACTGACAAGATGTAACTCCAGTTGGACCATTGGTTTTGTTTCTGTTTTTACTTTACATTGTTTTGATAAATTAAAATTTTGTAGGTAGTAAACTTTGGAAATAAATTAGCAAATAAACAAGCAAATAACATTAGAATTGAGTTTTCTGGATTCCCCTGCCCCGTACCCTCCTCAGGTATGCCCTCCAAGTCAGAACCAGTCTCTCCAGTTGTGTCTTATTTTGGTGGCCTGTGGTTTATCTTTCATACATATCAAACTGCTCAATACTAGAAGCACTAGAATTACCACTGTGGAAAAGTAAAAAATATATATATTCATTTTTATGTTCTTTGCATTGCCTGGCACAGGATGGGGGCCCAATAAATTATTGTTTAATCTTAACTGTTATTTTGTATTACTTAAGGATGGCTGGAAATGAAAATAATGATTCTTATAATTGCTCACTAGGGCAGTGGTCACATGCAACTGAGGACCTTCCGTGCAGTCGGGGTAGGTTTTACATGTCTATCTTTAAAGTTCTGGGAGCTACACGAAATATTATGGGATTGTGCTCACATCTGCATATACTTCTATAACATGTCTATAAATGCCAGTCTCCATTTACCCAGTCACCTAAGATGCTAATATTCTCCTAATTCGCTTCTCAAGCTGGCTTTCCCTGACCAGAGCTGAAAGACAGCCGTGATTGACACTGGTGGCCTTGGCAACACACTGTTTCCAATGACAACCTCCCCTCATACAGGATTCTCCTATTATTCTGGGCCAATGACTGAAGAGAACAATTTTTTTGAATTAGCACATATTTAATCAAAATTCTACCTTAGTCTATAAAAAGGTAACACATTTCCTTGGTTGTTTTACGAACGCATTAAGGGCATCAAACCAGCAGACATTTCCTTGCAATAGAAACAAACTCCCATTTGCCGTACTCCCTGCTTGGTGTTTTCCAAGTCTAACTCCATGCACTCCTCCATTCAGCAAATCAGTCGGCACAGGAGAACCGCAGTCTCCTGAAGATCAACTGAGGCTAGAAGCTCCTTGCCAGCTCGGATTTCTCATCCACACCGTCAGAAGGATAAAAGAAACAGTACCTTCGCTGTCCTCACTGCGGCAGACACGGGAGGAGAGAAGGAAGAAGAGGGCAGTCACTTGAAGCAGCTGCATGGTGCCTCAGGATGGTCTGGGTGGCTTCTCTCCCAGGCTAAGGCAGGGAAGGGTTCCTCCCAGCCAGTGCAGGCCGTGTTAGCGAATGGAAAAGGTGCGAGGCCTGTGTGCAGACGCTGCCCATTCCTACTTATTTTGGGGACTCTGATAAAGAACTAGAGGAAACACACACACTCCCTTTGGGAGGTCAGCAGAGAGGAATTTATTGTTTCAGCCCCTTACAGGAACTCTTTTTTTTTTTTTCCTCTCTCTTCCTTTGGCAGCCACTTGTGTTTTTGTTACTGCATTATTTTGCTCTTCTTCAACAAAAAGGTCAGGATGGGATTTGAACAGGAAGAGACCCTTCTCAAGAAAGGGCCAGAGAGCTCTCTAACTTTTGTTTTGAAAGTGCGTTTTAGAGTAGCTGTAAAGACACCTCATTAAGCAGCTGCTCAGGCTGTCTAAGAAGGCTGCAACTTCCCAAGGGCTGGATCAGAGCACAAACTCCACAAGGAATGGTTTTTCTTTTCTCTTTTCTACTCAAAAGACAGATCACTGAATACCACCGTCTAGAGACAAAAGCAATTATTAATTAGATTGTGCTCCACTCTTGAGAAAGCAAACCAAACTCTTAAGAACATTCAGAGAGGTTTTCCAAGACATTTCTAACAGAGTTAAGCAAAGATCTAAGACAACCCCATGCTCATCTGGGTTTTGAGAAATATTTATCACCCCTACTTTGTTCCAGATTGAGTACGTGCTAGGCTAGTGTACCACCACTAAGCTATAACCCCAGCCTGCATTTCTGGTTTTTATTAGTGGGGTTTTATCAAGAACAAGAAAAAATACAACATTATGGGTGTAAGGAATCTGCCTCAGTTGGCCTGGGTAGAATAAGCCATCACAGTGAATCAATGATGTTGTGAATTATGTATTCTGCAGGACCCAAATACCAGCCAGCAGTCCTTTGCTCTCAATGATGACTGGTTAATACAGGACTGTCACACAGACCCTGAATGTGACACTGGTGTGAACAACAGAATTAGAAGAGTCACAAGCCTCAGACTTCAAGTCTCAACTCTGTCGATTGCTTTGTAACACACCATGAGGTGCAGGCTTGCTAGAGGAGAGTGCTGACTGATACTTACAGACTAAACTACAAAATTATACTTTAGCCAGTTCCTAAGGAGAATACCCATTCCTCACTACGCCATCCAGGGAAATATAAAAGTGGCCAGAGCAGATCCCTGGCTCAGAGCACTGGAAAAGATGGCTTGTTTAATCCTGGCCACTGTCCAGTCTCAGAAGAGTTGAGTTTTAATTGTAATTTTGTACATAAGTCAGAGTAATTTTAACCTCTTAATTGATTTTTCCAAAACAGAATGCCTTTGGGTGTCACCTTTATTAGGCATAGCCCAAAAGGCACAGAGATAGTAGTAAGTGTGGAAGACAACACACGCATTTTCTGGGGATAAACTGGGATATGGCCCTGTGAGAACAAATGAGACGTACTACCTCACGTCCTTCTTGCCACTGCTTGTCTTGGGAAGTTGCTCTTCTTAAGAGCTTTCCTGAGGCTGAGGCCTCACCACCAGTGTTACTTACCTGAATTTCCCTGGGTCTTTGGAGTTTGGGGGCTCTCTACATGATTGCCATGCATTTTCATGAAGGGCACTAGACATGCATTCCAGGAAGATTTACTTCCCATGGGTTTTCAAGCTGCTTTTATTTGTTTTGTTACTTGATTGTATTTGTGTGTGTGTGTGTGTGTTCACTAAAATGGGTGTGAGGGAAAATCAGAGGTTCCCACCTTCTGCCTTTTTTTTTTAACAACGTCTGTCACTAAATGAGAGCACATTTCTCAGTCAGACTGCCTGGTCATTGAGCCTCTGGATTTGCCTGTTTTGAAGCCCCGCAGTAGGGTTGAAGACACACACTGCCACACTACCACACTGCCACATCTGTCTCTTTGATCAAACCTCAGGTCTTTGAAAAAACACTTTACCCATTGAGTTATCAGTCCAGCCCTATACAGGAGCTACTTAAAATGCAGACAACCATTTGCTGAAAAAGAAAGGAAACAACAAGCAAACACAAAAGGAAAATGCCTAAGCCACAAAAAACAAAACAATATTAAAAGACCCAAATGTAGTATAGAAGGCCAGCTTTGCCTCAATAGGTCAGAAACTGGTTAATTAAAACTGGTTAATTTAAACCAGGAGATACAAGCCCATGCCACAGAAGAGTACACACAAGCACACTACAAATATGTGTATGTGTTTAGACACACAGAGATAAACATATTCACAATGCGTGAGCAGATGTGTTCTTCCCAGGCACACACCAAGGGCTGCCTGTGACATTATTGACACTGGAGAATTTGGATGCCAAGACTGTAACAATGGTGACTTCACTTAACCTTTGTGCCACTGAGATTTATTTAGGTGGCACCCTTGTTAAGTCTACATATTAAAGCCTTCTCAGTACTCATGTCCTTCCTCTCTGCCAGCTCATCATGCTAAATAAAAATAATCATCTAGAGTGGTTGGAAAGCCATGGGATGATCTCACAGACTGGCAGATCTCAAATCCTCATTCCTTCCTTTAGCGCTTAGCTTACAGGCTGAAATATTTGTCTTCTTACTGCCTAGATTCCCCATGCGAAATTGAGCATGAACGTTATGCCTATCTCCAATAGCGTATAGAGGAAAAAGTGAGATTCTGGGAGGTAAATTCAACAGCGCATATGGAGCTAAATAAAACAAGAAAAGAAACCTGATGTTGGCTTCTAGAATCTTTAGGGTTCTACAGGAGACATAAGTTCAGAGTGATAAACCAGTTTCCAAAGAAATAGACAATGAACATCACAAAGACAAGAGGAGAGAAAAGACAGAGCTCCAACCCCTATTTCAGGTTTGCTCCATGCTCTAAAGTTTGGTGCTCACAGTGGAAATAGGACCCGACAGTGTGTTATTGTCTCTTGTTACTGGAGTTGAGAACTGGCTAGTTTCTTGTAGCCACTGGGAATAGAACTAAAAGAAGGAGGAAAGTTTAGATCTTTAGTTGTGGAAAAGATATCAATTCTCCCTCCTACAGAACCAAACTGACCACTGGTTGTGTAAGGACTCAGCCATTTGGCCAAACCTATGCCACCAACAGTGGCGTCTTCCTAAGTTATGCTCTGTTGATTGTGTTCAGGTGACCCAGGCTCGTCTGGGCACATTATTACTCAAGTTCATTATTGCTCAAGAAGTTGTGTTAAACTGCCTTGAGTTTCCAAAGCTGCTCTCTAACCACCCATCCACCCCTATTTAATTCAAGATGTTTCGATTGTCTTTGACTCACAGTGAATCCCTAGGCTTCCATGAATCTACTGGTGCAGAAAAGCATGGATGTGGGGCAGGGGGTCATAAAGCAATAGTTCAGGGATGACATACGTATTTATCTCAATGCAAATCCTCTGACGTAAGCACCCAGACATCTGTCAATAGAAGAAATGATTAAAACACTCTCTTCTGTGAGACAATCCAGACTCCTGTGTCAAAAGATTCAGCAGCCATTCCTGCACCATTACCTATGTTTATGACCTCAAAAAAAAACCTGCCACATTTTGAATCTTCCTATACAAAACTAAGCCATAGCAGTATTTTCCACTGATTATGCATCACATACCAATAGAAAAAGTGATATTTTTCCTAGGGAAAACACATTTAGCTGTATACATACATTTTCAAAATTTGACACTGAGTAATTTGTATCAATGCCCAGAAGTGATATAGCATTAATGTTTTATTTTATCCCAGTCAGAATGGTAAGTTTAAAAACAACCTTAATTAACTTCCTATTTAGGTCAGCTGTTACCAATGTGGCACCTTGTGTCTGATATTTCTGTCCATAGGTCTTTCTTTTTTCTGTACAAGAAATAGCATTTTAGGGAAAATTTCCTTAATGTCAAGTGACATCTATTAAAATCATTGCATATTTCTATATACAAGTATGAGATTTAGGAATGGAAATGTGTCTCAGAGATGAAGAGCACTCATTGCACTTGCTGGGCAGTTCCTGTAACTTAAATCATCTGTAACTCCAGTTCCCGGGGAATCTGATGTCCTCTTCTGGCACCACAGGCATTGCATTCCTGTGGTGCACAGACATACACACATCCACAAAATAAATGCAAACAATTCTTTTAACACTGTGAGGCTTGCGTGAGTTAGTTACATGCCATTCACTTTTCACAGTTGGTGTGCTCCACCTAGCTTTGCGAGTTTATCTCTGGCTGCATACACATATTCCTCCGCCAGCCAGCCTATGTTAGTTATTCTCAGTTTCTGAAATATTTTTCTCTTTGCCCATTTTGTAATAATCAAAAGAAAAGCTCAGCTCAGCCAGCTTCAAGGCATGATGAGGTGATTTATTTGTTTTTCCTCTTTCTGGTTCCAGATCAGTTGAAGTTGAAGTTAGCTCTATGACAATGTGTCAGTTCTTCCCTTTTGTTCATTCCCAATAAAGAAAGCAAACTGTAAGCATAGCTTTGGCATTCAAAGAAATGTGAATTTAAAGTTGGAAGTCTTGTTCTGCTCATTTGTCACCATCATGGGTCAGTTGTGAAGGAGTGACTCAGATAGTCAAGGTATGGTTGTTAAGTTAGCTGATGTCCACTAGTAGTCTAGTTTGATCTGCATCTTCAGATGCTACATCGTAAATTGATGTTCTATGAAATAATTTCCCAGGTAATAATGTCTATACTCCCTGACACGTTACAGATCAAAACAAGCTCCATTTGTATAATAGTGCAGAGATGAACAGATGTGGGATCTTCATGATTTCCAGTCCTGCTCCTTGATGCTCTTAGAAGTCATCTACCTCTAACCATGTAGACTGGGTTCCTGAGTGACTGTGAGAAGCAGAACTCTCCTTTCTCAGCGGTACCTTACATCTGCATGAGCAACATGGAAACATTTGTGTCATATTAAATGCCTGGTATTCCAAGTTTATTTTGTCACTAACTCCTAATTAGTAGATAATCCTATTATCTTGTGTAGATAATTTTAATGAAGTTGGCATGGAACTAGTCACACTACAGTAGATCCTACTCATCAATGGCAGAACTTTTGTTAATCACCTGTCCCTGTGGCTTAGCACAGTTTTGGTAGCAACACAACCTACCTTTCTAATATCAATTAGGCTGTT